ATATATATATATATATATATATATATATATATATATATATATATATATATATATATATATATATATATATAATACTGCATGTATTAAATATAGCATTTTTGCTATATTCTCCAGCTACACGAACAAGAGAATTGAGAGAAGCTCCTAAATGCATGCAGACTTCCTTGTGGTTCGTTCATAATAGTGTTTTTTTAGGTTGAACGACTTCAAAGGTGTTTTTTACTGATAAAGGGATTTATTCCACAGTAGGTGACCGAATGAGTGCACTTAAAAGCCGCCCGACAGATTACCGCGCAGCCACACAGGCGTATTTAGAGTCGAACTTGTAAAGAATAATCACTGCAGTAGATCCATTTAGAATTGATTTTGTTGATGTGTGATGGTTTTTTAGTTGTCTGAAGTGCTCAGAGAAAACTAGTTGTGCTTTCAGTAATAGACTCTTCTCAATGAATTACAGTATTAATGGGAGGGAGGGAGAAACAGACAGTGGCTGTTGTCTGGGTGGAACGGAGCCCATGCATACTTGTTAGATTTGACAACAGTTGCAGTCATCCGAGGCGTTGTATTCAGGGAAGGGAACCTCTGGGAAACATAGGTTTAATTAAAGATCTGAAACGTTATTTGCAGCACCTGGGTGGGGATATTGGAGTTGCTAGTGGGATGGTGCAGTAGTGAAGCTCATCAGCTGAAACCGTGTTAACAAACTGCTGTAAGGGACGTTCACACTAACAGTGATTAAAGTGCTGGAGGTCAGTCGCTGTGGTTTCTACTCAATGACCGTATCCAGCTCTTTCAGGTGATCGATCACTGTCTGTCCTCCCAGCGGCAGTCAATGCATTGCATCGCAAGCAAAATTGCAAAAAGTTAAGACCTTTTTACAGAGAGTTAATTTTAAATTAATTATTTATCTAAACCCAATAGGCAGCTTTCTTGTTTCAAGCATACATTTAACTAAACTGAGTGAGTTTTATGCTTTAAAACAATTATTTGAAAATATTATACTTAAAATCATAAATATTGTTTTACAGTTTTTTTAAAAATTGGTTTGGTACTATTTTCACAAGTAAGGTGTACATTTTCAAAACTCTTAGTATACAAACCTTTAAACCGATCACTTGTAACACCACTAGTCATTCTTTCAAAACCTGATCTCATGATTTCATTGTAGTTGCGCATATTTTCATCATTGTTCCAAAACACAAGATCATTGTGATATGTATTGAGAACATTTGAATTAATCGCCAAAACACAACAGTATGATCTTCTTTCAATTTAGTACTTTTAACAATCAGTTCATTCAAGAGCAAACAATGCTAGATTCATGTTTCAAATCACCTTTGTTGCTGAAATAATTACAGTAATACAGGCAATAACTGTCATGTTAG